TCGATCTCTCATTCATGAGCATAACCTTGACTTTCCGGCTTTCTTAGAGCCTATGACTCGTGACCCCTCTTTTGACGCATATTCGCACCGCCTTGGCTTCCATGCCGGGGTGGGCAACACCTCTAATAAGATTTGGTTCTTCTACTCACGTGAATTTACCTGCCAGATCATCCGAGATACTGACCAGGTTTTGCACATGAAGCTCACTGCCACCCATCTTTCGGAGCCAATCTTCCACACCTTGGTTTACGACAGTTGTGTGAGGGCTGGTCGCTATGATCTCTGAGGCACCATGCGTGAGTATGGAGAGATTACCATGGATGATTAGCGGTGATTTCAACATATTTTTGCATCTCGATGAACGTATCGGTGGCCTATCGGACTGCTCGGTGGAGATCTTAGATTTCTCGCATGCTGTGGCGGATTGTTAGTTAATCGATGTTGGATACGAAGGCACCTTTTACGTGGGAGAGGGCTGGAGTCAAGGAAAAGCCCGACCGCGCATTATACTCTGAGGCATGGACGAGGGTGTTTGCGACCACGGTTGTAACACACTTCCCTCGATTTGGATCTGATCACGCCCCCCTTCTGATCCGGTGTCGGATCTCTAATTCCCCACGCCGCTCTTCCTTTCGGTTCCAGAACATATGGGTCTGCCATCATTCTTTCCATGACATAGTTAGAACTTCTTGGCAGCAGACTACGCACCTGTATAGGATGCACAACCTGGAGGAGAAGCTCAGGAGACTCCGACGCGTATTGAAGCAGTGGAACTGGACGACTTTTGGCGACAATACTCAGTGCCTTACTGCAGCTCAGACTGTGTATGCAGAGGCTGAACGGAACTATGATCTGGATCCTTCACCATAGAATAGGACCGATATGCGCTGCTGCCATGCTGAGTACCAGTTGCGCCTCCTTATGGAGGAAGATTTCTGGAAGCAAAAGGCTGTTGTGCGCTGGGTGGCTGAGGGGGAACGTAATACCAAGTTCTTCCAGGGATTTGTGAGACAGAAGCGGGTCATGTCGTATATCCATAGTATCGAGGATAACGAGTCATCCGTGACCCAGGAGTCCCAGATACGGGAGTCGGCTAAGGCTTACTTCTACTCCCTCTTTTCCTCTGAGCGGGACTTGCTTACGTACCCCAACCCTGCCCTTTTTCCGACCATCCCACAGTCGGTCGACCTTATCGGCCTCTGCGACCTCCCGAGTAAGGAGGAGGTCAGAGAGGCTATGTTTGGGATTGATCCCAATAGTGTTTCTGGCCTGGATCGTTTCTCGTCCCTTTTCTTCCAGTCATGCTGGGAGATTGTGGGAACTGACGTAGAGGAAGCTGTAAGGGACTTCTTCTCTGGCCACTAGATGCCAGAGTCCTTCACAGCAACCTCCATTATTTTGATCCCTCAGAGACCCGGACCGAGCTTCTGGTCCGACTATAGACCCTACAGTTTATGCAATATGACTAACAAGCTCATCTCTAGGATCCTCAACGGGCGTCTCGTCCCTCTCCTCCCCTCCCTTGTCTCTCCGAACCAGAATGGATTCATCAAAGATCGAGTCATCAGTGACAATATCCTTTTGGCTAAGGAGATGATTCATGATATCTCTCATGCGAATAGAACACGAACCCCGAACCTCATGCTGAAGCTAGACATGGCTAATGTTTATGATAGGGTCGAGTGGTCGTTTCTCAGGGAGGTGCTGTTTCGGATGGGATTCCCCAACCGTTGGATTAGCTTTGTTGAGGCGTGTGTGGAGCACTGCACGTTCTCTGTTTTGATTAATGGTAGCCCCACGACCTTCTTCCCATCCTCCCGTGGCCTGCGTCAGGGGGACCCTTTATCCCCCTCCCTTTTTGTCCTGGTGGCTGACTACCTCTCTCGCTGCCTTGACGGCTTCATTCGCAATTTTCCGAGGATGATCTACAGCACGCGTGGCTGTGGGCCTCCCATATCCCACCTCTCTTATGTGGATGACATTATCATTTTCACTCGTGCGAATGATAATGGGCTAGTCAATCTCATGAGTCTCTTGTCTCACTATAGTGAGACCTCTGGCCAGCTAGTCAGTGTTTGTAAGAACACTTTTATCATG